ATAATAGAAACAATGAGAGAGAGAGAGAGAGAGAGAGAGAAAGAGAGAGAGAGACTAAACGCGCCCATACTCTCCACCGCTAACACTGCAAACACACTAAACAACTACTCATCCCATTATCCCATTCCCTATCGAAATATATAAAAATTCAGAGAGAGATATGAAAACGAAAGAAAAGAAAAGTTATGATAATTTTCAGCACAAAAATAGAAACCAAACTAAATATGATTTGTCAGAAAATTTCGACATATATTTTATGTGTTGTTTTCACACAAACTTAACGATACGGGAAAACAAAAAAATATCCATTAATTACTTTAAAAGGCTTAAATTATTTGCTGAAACATTTCAAGCAATCAATTAAGTAATAAACGGACAGATTTTACATATAAATATAATTATATTGAATTAAATTAATATATAAAATATAGTCCTTATAACTTATTATCATTGAAATGGAAAAACAATTTCCTAATTTTATATAGTTTTATTGATTATGGGTTTTGATTCAACAATAATAGCAATAGTAAACTACAATATAAACTATCTTTCGGCTATTATTAAATGGTTTCCATATTTGCCATCATTTTTATTAATAGACTTAAAATTGATTAAACTGTGCATAAAATACACATAAAAAGTTTAACATCAAACAAAATATTAAGCGACTTGTGTTGACACAATTTCTTAAAATTAATACTCAAACTATTAATATATACAGTATTTATAAAAAAAGAAAGATATTTATTACCAAAAACTTAACTCAAAAACAATTATTTATTGCAATCGGAAATAATATGAAAGGCAATAATATTATGCAATAATACTATTGATGCATATTTGATGGGAAGGAGTGATTAGACATAAAAAAGAGATAAATGAAAAACTATTGTCTTATTCACTGTGTTTTGCTTTTAATCGATCGGATCTTTACTGTAATGATTGTATGAAAGATCGGCCACTCTATGGCACTACACTATAATCGACTCTTAAGTGAAATTATAATTTGTATACTTTTTTATTACTTATAATATGTACAACACTTTCACATTTTTTATAGTACTTAATATGTATTCATATTAGAAATGATAATATGGTATTAAATTTTAAATAAATTAATATTTGAATAGTTATTATTCAATAGTTCTTTGATAGCAACACTTTTATGATATACTCTGTGATACAATTGTTAACAAATTTTTAGTAAATTTTCGCTAATGTTGGCTAATATTGTCGTTCAAACTTCTATTTAATAAACACTATTCATAGCCTATTCTTACATTGTGTTGACTACAGGGTTGGCAAATATGCATCACATAATACACTGAAAACCAATATCCTGTACACTTTAGGTCACTTTTTGGCCCCAATTCTGTATTGAAATAGTTTGGTTATGAGATTCTGTAATTGCATATCAATCCCCTTTTAAACTTATAATGGATTCTATTAATCCTATATTAATCTATAGAAATTATTCAACGTAGACAAAAGATAATCCTATGAATAATGCTAATCCTATGAGATAATTTCATTGCAATGGACCATGTTAGAACTGCAAGAATTGTTAATCTTATGCAACTCCTTAAATATTTAATTTTGGATATTTGGATATCCTTTACATTTGGATATTTCAAAGTGCATCCCTTTCATAGCTAATCGTGTGATTTGCCTGTATATCTTGTTTATCGGGAAATGTGTGTCTTTTGTGAAAAAATTATACCACCAGTGCTTTAAGGCTTTGTTTTGACATTAAGAACAGTCTTCACTTGCTTTTAGTTTTATATACAAGAATTGAAAAGCTTTTGTATACAATATTGCTGTAAACAAAAAGATACTTATTGACTTCTTGGCTCTCTCTCTCTCTCTCTCTCTCTCTCTCTCTCATTCTTTCTCTCATTCTCTGGTCTCAACTCTTAATTTAAACGAATTTTCTTCTCTAATAATATCGTACAAAACCTTAACATCAAAAACAGATTCTATTGCTTTTGTACGAAAGTTAATGTTAAGAGCAAACTATACATACAATTACAAAATTATAACTTATTTTGTTGTTAAACAACAAACTCAATATTAAACACAGATTATAAATAGTGTAAATATGCTCTTAAGCCGTAATTTTCATGTTTAATATTTTCTATACATCCCATAGAAAAAGATTTAACATTTGATTTAAAAATAATTAAAATTCTAACCGTTTATTCATAAAAATGTCACAAATATTTATTCGATCGCTGTTTTGGAAACAAACTAATTGTTTGAATAGAAGCCGCAATCACTTTAATTAAATAAATGTTTAGGATTTTAATTAAATTAAAATTTATTGGAGAGAGAGAGAGAGAGAGAGAGAGAAAATGCGAAAAATAATATTCAAACAATTGTATTTGAATTCATATCAACGAGAAGTTCCGCTTTAAGTAATAAAATATTAGTTTTGATTCAAAATAATAATCAATAAGAGTTTTATAATAAAAATATGATATATTATTATTAATGATAAACTTCTAATACCAGGCGATGTATGTCTTCGCTATTTAAATGAATATTTCTTTTATTTCTGTATTTCTATGTCTGTATTGCTATATATTTTTACGGTTCGGATCATTATTTTCTTTATTTATTAAATATCACAATAGAATAGATATTTTGGTGTTTCCATAGAAATTGTGATCTATTTTTATAAACAAAACTTTTTTATGAAATAAATTATTGAAATATATATATAACGCTATATAGAGTGAAAGGAAGCATAATATATAATATACAATATATTTTATGACGTTATAATAACATAAACTATATATACGATTGTAATATTGAATATATTTATTTATTTTCAGGTGAGAACACTGTTTGTAAGCGGACTACCGATGGACGCAAAGCCCAGAGAACTATATCTACTCTTCAGAGCTTATAAGGTATACACAAAACAACAACACATAGAGATATATACATAAAAATGCTCTATAAATAAAATGCATTAATAATAAAAATTTCAATAAAAGCACATCATTTATACAGACAAGTTAACAATGAAATGTTGTGTTTAACCAAAATATTTCTATACCATTATATTATTATACAGAATACACCGGTATTACTGTGAAATACCGTACAGTACTTTGTACTTTACATTAGCCAATACCGGTGCAAACCATTTCATACCATGTCATAATATATGCCAACAATATATACCATATACTTTATAATATACCCCCAGTTTATAGAGTTTCCTCATCATTTGCATTCATATGAAGCGTGTATATGAATAAATATATGCAAAACATCTGTAAAGACTTTACTCATGAGATATTATAATAAAACCAGATATTATTAATTGCCGACTAAATCAATGCTAATTTCAAAATATGTACAATAAATATACAGCAAACAAACACTAACCGCAGTATTTCTACACAAACAACACTAATTTAGTGTGTATTTCATAATAAGATATACACGTAATCGTATGAGAAGTAGGAATCAATTAGCAAAACATTTAGTTCATACATGTATATAATATGCGAGTTATTGCTATACATATAGCGATCAAATATTAGACCAAATCTGATACGAATTGAGTCTTATTTTGATTTTCATAACCTTAAGCGCAATGAGCTTTACATCAAAATGAATATTCACTTCAATGACAAAAGAGATTTATTTAAAACTTGTATATAATATAAAAGAAAATATTTTATTGATTTTCAAAATTGGATGTAAAACTGAATTTTGATTGAAAGACAGTTTTAAATCTAAAAATTTATTTATTATCGAAATAATTTCAACATTCAATGTATTATTAATATAAATAGGGATACGAAGGCTCTCTATTGAAGGTGACGTCTAAGAACGGCAAGACTTCATCCGTAAGTATTAGTCCACAATTGACGCTCTCGTATATTAATAATAAAAACTCATTTTTATTTATTATTTGGTTGCGTTTAAAACTGATTGTTGTATTTTGTTGTTTGGTTGACAGCCGGTTGGTTTCGTTACCTTCAACACCCGTGCGGGCGCTGAGGCCGCTAAACAAGATTTACAAGTAAGTGCTCACCAAATGGTTGGCAACTCTGTATTTATTTGTCATTTTCGTTTGACGTCCCAAAAGGATTTCACACAACAAAAGCCTTAATTCTAATATAAATTGTTTTGTGAAAAAGAAAACTTTGTTTTATATATAAAACTCTAGGAAAGGAGTTCATAGAAGAGAGCGGTTTCTTAATTTTTATTGATGTTTGTTTGGGTTTAAGCGTTGTTTATATTCCTATTTTGTCTCATTCTTTTCATCACTCATTTTTTCAATTAATTTTTTCCCCAATATTTTTCTCTCTTTTGCTTTTTTGTCTGTCGATTATTTTGTTAATAACTATACGTTTTGATGTCTAAATAGCAGGGAATTCGTTTCGATCCCGATTTGCCCCAAACTATTCGTTTGGAATTTGCAAAAAGCAATACAAAAGTGAGTAAACCTAAGCAACAGTCATCTCCACCGGCTTTGGCCACACATCCAGCGATGGCTATGCATCCATTGACAGGCCGTAAGAACCCATTTCATACCTATATATCAAATGACTATATTTTGAAATAAAACAATAATATATGTACTAATGGATTGTTGTGTCGGATCAGTTGAATTGGGCGCCGCACTGTTCTCTGGTGCTCACGACGGTTGGGCTCACCATCCGTTGTCGTTCACCGAAATGCCCTCCGCTTTCAATCAACACGTCATTCATCCGGCACTTCACGCCCAGTTACCGGTTAGTTGGTATTGACTATTGACTAACAAATCTATTCCCTATACAACAACAATCATATATCCACTATATATTCATATACATAAGTATTTAAACAAATTCAATATTAGTCCATATAAAAAAGTTTCTCATAACAACTATCAGCCAAACGTATTTGCAATCGTTATTATTATCATAAGACTATTATTATTATAGATCGACTATTTGGGGATAAAATTATACCAATAATAAAGTTTTTTATTTGAATGTCATTATACTGTAGTGAATAAGTTATTTGTAACAGAAGTTATGTAAGAATTGAATCGAGAATTTTCTATAGATTGACTTAATGTAAAAGAATATATAAATATGCAGTAGATATACATAATATTATGTAAAGTACTTATTTATGTTTAATGATATACATTTATAAAATAAAACATTTTCAACACAACAATATTCATCTATAAAAATATATAATTTAATCAATCGTTTATTAATTATAAACATTAAATCAAAAAATAATTGTTCAAAAACTCATATTAAAACATTTGAATAATGAATTTTATAATATATGTTGAATTGAAGATTATTATAAATACCAAATAAATGATGAAAAATTAATCTAAAAATTTGAAAACTTTATTCATAAAAAGCAACACAAATATTAAGCACTGAATGACAAGACGTTGTGAAGCGTTGATCTTTAACACTAACCTAATTATATACATATATAGACATAGAGAGCGAAAAAACAATCGGTTGATGTAAAAGTGTCTCTCATTAACACATAGTTATGTGAGTTTTGTAACACTTTTGTGTCGATCCTATTGTTGTAATTGTGATGAAGTGTCGGTTAATTCATAAAAGCTTTCCTTAATTTATTGTCGAAACAATCAATTTTAGTGCCCCTGAAATGACACTTCCATACATAACATGGGAGGCATTAATTCTGTGTTGTAATAACAGAGCGAATAGAAAAGAGATATAAAGAGATGTAGTGTTTAGTGTTTGAGATGTGTGTTTGTGTTGACAATCGCTCCCATTGTCTGTCATCTCTATTATAATGGTTTACATTATCAACAACTCCTTTGGGTCTCATTTTTACAATAACTCCGTATAGATTGCATGCCATGTCTTTCACACAAATTAAAAACATTACATTTAATTTTGAAATGCAATAAACAAATCAATTACATAATGATTAATAAGGATAGACTGTTTTTAATAGCGAGTATAGAGTAGTTGCCAGTGATTTGCTTTACAACTGTTAGCCAATTCATATCCATCACACGATCACATCTATGAGTTTGTCTATAGTCTGACGCACTGTTATATCTATCTAACTGTAGCCACAATTGGCACAACTGCCACATCCAATCAGTCACGCGGCAGCCCTGGCCAATCAGGCGGCCATCCACGCAGCCATGCCACCGCAGCATTTAGTGGCCACTAGTCCTGCTTTAGCCAGTCCTGGTTCGGCCACATCACCCAACTGTTCAACCCCTCCATGTTCTACACTATTTGTAGCCAATTTGGGACAATTTGTCTCAGAGCAAGAACTCAAAGACTTGTTCGGGAGGTATAGCTACCAATACTAAGCTTAATATACAATATAAAGCATTATATAATAAACACTTATATTGTATAAAAAGATTTTTATATGTATCATAATATGCCGTCATATATAACATTATCGTATGTCATGTCTATCATGTGTTGAACAGTTTCCCAGGATTTTGTCGCTTAAGGATGCATAACAAGGGAGGAGCACCTGTTGCGTTCGTTGAGTACACGGTATCAATATTATATATCAATATATCTATCTCTCTATCTGTCTCTCTCACCCAACCTCTCCCTCCACACACACCGTACACTCTCTACCACTCTTTCCAACACTTACTTATTTTTATCCCTTCTCTCCCTTTCTAATCATTTTCTCGTTGAATGAGCTCTCAATTCTACAATTAAGTAGAAAATCATGTTTTCTCCTTTATTTTTGTTGTTGTTTTGTATTTATTTTCACATTCAATGAATGCATAAATTTTATTTGAAAAACTTTATTTCAATTTAAAGTACAATTCTATGGAATGATACAATTCTATACTAATCAAAAAATCATATTCAATATGAATATATTGTAAACTATTGTACACTAAAGTGAGTGGCGAAGTGTTGTGTGATTGAAGTGGTCTTACTCTTGTACTCATAGGATGTACGCTTAGCCTCACACGCAATGAATGCACTTCAGGCTTATGTTCTGTTTTCTTCAGATCGGGGAGGAATGAGGATTGAATACGCGAGAAACAAAATGGGAGAACAGGCACAACAGACCATTCCTGTAAGACATCCTAACCATCCATTGCTATCCATTCTAACCATTCAAATAAATCATATACCAGTCAAGTGATGCAGTCATGATATCGATGCTGACACCTCTGGTCCGCATCACTTACTCATCCTCAGAATACAGTAGACTCTCTCTCTCTCTCTCTCTCTCTCTCTCTC